GATCTCCAGATTTATCGTTAATCGAACATGTGTGGGACCACTTGGGTCGCCAGCTGCGACAGCCACAGGATCTGACTCATCTTGAGTCCCAATTGCATCATGCATGGACAGATATGCCTCAGAACATTATTCGCAACCTTTATGCCTCCATGCCGAGGCGTATCACAGCTTGTATCCGCGCTAGAGGCGGCCCAACAGGATATTAGTTCCTGCACTGTATTGCATATTACTGCACAATAAAGTATGTTTTTGTTTTATGGTTGCAATCATATATCTGTCTAGCAATGACGATGTCATATACCAATTTTTATTCAAATCCAACAAGTCCTTCATGGTGCGTTATTTTTTTTGTCGTCCAGTGTACTTTACAGATAATTATTTAATATATAAAATTCTGTTATAATGTTTGACCATTACAGTTTTAAATTTTCTTTTTCATCATCATCATCATGTCCTTATATGTTATCATTCATTTAATGCAAAACATAACTAAATCTGGTTTTGTAATTCAAATGATAAGGATACCATCTACATATCTCTTATAGATAACAATCTTCAATGAGAATAAAGATAGGACCGAGTCATACCCTTATTCTCATTGAAGTATATAATACTCATGCTTCTCATTAAGTCCTACCCTTCTGTTCCAGTTAGTATACTATCATTTCAAATAGTTCTCTTGAAGGAGACTACTCATCAGTACCTTCATTTTTGTAAGTACAGTACATGTTGTTATTATGGTGTTATTAAATTGAAGAAAGGAAGAACACATCATATAAACCAGTTTTAAGATTTGTTGATGGTGCTCAGGTTCCTTTACTTTTTATAATAATAGATCCCTGAGGCTAATAGAAGCAAGGCTGGAGTTTTACCAATAGATATATAACTATGTTTGATTTCATTGCATTATAAGCTTCATTGGTCAATTGGATTTGCTGTAGGCAATGTAAGAGCTCAATAGAGTTATTAATCATGTGTTTAATCAACTAAATATTTGAAGAGGGTATCTATAATGTTTTCTAAAATGCTTATGGGAGATCTTGCATTGTTGACTATTGATCTGAGGGAAGGAGTTGACTTACAAGTTTTTACAAAGACAAAAAGTTTGAGTATCTGATGAGGCAACAATTTCCTTGTCCATTTTTAACTTCTTGACAAGCACAATGTGTGTAAATTTTATGATCCTTGCTTATAATGTCAACATATCCTTTATCTATTGGTTTGTAATCCATGTCCAGCTAAACAGCCTTTAGAGCACTCACTAAAAGTGGCATTCACACACTACAACTTTGACACTAAAAAAATTAAAAAATTTATAATCCATTATGGTAAAACATGGTTATCAGAAAAATGATCCATTTAGCATGTGCTAACAACAGAAGACAATAAATGACCAAAAATAGCCAAGACAACTCCTCCAATCCCATGACCACAGTGGCCAAATACAGCCTAGATCAGAGATGTCCAACCCACAGCCCACTTAATATTTTTATGCGGCCCACTACACCCTAAATTTATTAGGTACATTTTCATTTACTTTGGTAAAGTATGTCGTAAAAATTATTCTCGTTTCACTGGATACACTTTGACAACATAATAATGTAAATGGTGACATAATTTGTAACTTTTCAATCAAAAGAGTAGGTGGCGTCATCTATCATTTTGATTGTTTCGGTTTCAAAGACTTTTGTAACGAAGTGATGATGTTAGTGATACTACAAATAAAACACACTTTTAATAATCCAGCTAATAAAAATTAATAAAGTAAAAACGTTTTTGATCATTTCTTAACAATCTTCTTCAGTTACCATAACATAAAATAAATCAAACACAAAAAAGAACATAAATACAAAATTAAAATATAAATAACGGAAAAGTAGCTATGCTGATAAAATAAACAAAAAATATAAATTAAGCTGAAAAAAAGTCCCTTAACAAAAATAAAAATAAATAAAGTCATTAATTCTTGTAAAAGGATCACTATGCGGTAGGTAAAGAGTCCGCATCTCTACGGTTGATGAAACCAGTTTTCCTGTGTGCCTTAAAGATCTCTAATTTTTCCAGATATTTCATTGTATGTAAATTTGTCGTAGGTTTAATTACTTCCACCCGATCCCAATGAACTCGAATGCATAAGCCGATAGCAAGATATTGTCAAGTTTCTTATTAATCATATATTTATGTTCTTTTATACGTTGCTGCAAGTTGTGCATTATTGCGCCCACATAGACCAGATCCGAATTAAAACGCTGATCATGTAATGGTATAGAATAGATCCCTCATGCCGATTTCCATTCATAACTCTTCTTATCGTTTCTTAATAGCTTGAAAATTGTAGGATTGCATGGATATGTCACTCAGAAATCATTAGCTTCGGCAGTTTCTTTATGTATTTGTCTCAAAAATGGGACGTAATTTAAAACCATCCTTTGTCTACGGTCTACTGTAGGATGCCATTGTTTAGTTGTTTGGAAGGTTGTAATAATTTTCCTTATGATTTCCTTTTGGTATCCCTGTTGTTCTGCAATCCTTAGAATATAGTTCAGCTCTGCCATCGTGTCTTTTATACTAGTACAATGTGTATAAGCCCTTTTTATCCAGGACCTAAAGGCCACCAATTTGATGTGATGCGGATTGATTGAATTATGTGGAATTAAAATGGGTTGAAAGCATGATTTTCTGTATACGCTGGTCCTGATTTCTCCCTGTTTGCAAGCAATGGAAATGTCCAAAAAATTTACAATACTATCACTCTCCTGGTTCACTTGTAGTAACAAACCGTAAGGGTTATTATTGATCATATCCAAAAATTGCTGTAGGTTAGGTTTTCGTTGCCACAAGATGAATATATTGTTGATGTATCTGGCATATAAAATGATAAGGTGTTGAAACTTGGGTAGAATTTTGTTTTCGAATTTCCGTAAGACCAACTCAAAAAGAATCGCCGATGTGGGACTACCCATCGGTACACCTCTTCCTTGCAAATATAACTCGTTCTCAAACTCAAAAAACGATTTATAACATACTAGGTGCACAATTGAAAATGTACATTGAAAATGCACCACAACATCACAATCAAATTTGATTGTGATGTTGTGGTGCATTTTCAACATTGGCAAATAAAAAATCTCTTAATGATAATTTTATTGATAATTTTATTGATGGATACATCGACTTAAAGTCCAAGACCGTCATATATTCATTGTCCATTAGAGAAATGCTTTTTTGATCTATTAGTTGTAGAGAGTTGTTAATTGAGAGTGGATGGCGATGAGCTTTAGATTGGAAGAATTTGACCAGTTGTTTTTCGATTAAGAAAGTTGGAGAGTTACATTTCTTGATTACAGGGCGTATTTGGTATCCCGGTTTGTGTGTTTTGGCAAAAGCAAATATTCTCGGTGCCCTTGGTGCACGGACTGTGGAGTTTTGCATAAATAAGAGTCATGCTAAAGGAGTGGACGTGAACCTTTTAACCCTTTGCTGCAGGGTTTCTAAAAAATGGACGGGTGCTGGTTGACATTCAGTGCTTGCAATATATTCACGTAATTTCTCATTGTAAGTTTTAGCAATACCACTCCTTTTGATTTGTCGGCCTTCATCAGGACTATGCATGTGGGTAGTACATACTGTTGTGAACAATTCTTTTTGTGCACGAAAAACATTAAAACTGCTGAAAGAAATAAGTCCAGTGATTCCCATTTAACTAACATTCTTATAAAAAAGACTAGTACCATGAAAGCAGATATTGGCAATATAATAAAAGGAAAGTAATGTCAAAAATTGCATTGAATTTATTTTTATTTCGTGTCAGCATAATTTTTTTATTTTCAATAACACAGTATTTTTGTAATTATATATACTTGTTATTAAAATTTAATATTCACATTTTAAACTTTTTAAAAGCATTTATATAAATTACTTTTGTGGCCCACTAAATATACCTAAATTTGTAATTTGGCCCATTTGGAAAAAGGTTGGACAACCCTGGCCTAGATCTATATGCCTTATGCAAAGGAATACTAGCAACAGAAATGCCAAAGTAGCTTAAAGGTCTAGACCAGGGGTGGCCAACAGTTTTTGACCCCAGGCTGAACAATGTAGAAATGGAATACCCCATTTTGTACTTTGTCTCAGTTTTGCATTAAACATGTACTGTACACAAAGACATTCAAGAACTTAAATAGAAATGAAATTTTATCTCATTTTATTCAGATACAATTATCAGTGTCTTCAGTACACAAATTTTAAAAAAAAGAAGAAAATTGCTAATTTATCAAAAAGTAAGATATAGAATAATTATATAAACTCAAAAACTGCTTTATCAATACTCTATTTAACCTGACTAACTTTAAGTGAGTATTGACTTTACATAATAATGAATAAAACTCCAATTTCTTAATTTTATTTATTACTTGTAACATTCAAATTAAAAGAAACAGACATTAAAATTTCTTTTAATCTGAATATTACATTTTATTCTTTTGGTAACCTATATTTCAAAAATATTAATTTTGTTTGATCCTATATATTTGCAATTGTCATTCTTTATTCAAATGTAGATTTATGCTGATGATGATCTGCAACAGAATGAAAAACATTTCTTCTAATAAAATATTTTGCTCCCTAAATTAAACAGTTTAATTAGTAAATATTCTATATTAGAATAAATTTCATTTCCATTAAGTTATCAAAGTTTATGTACTAATAAAGCTTTCAAAAAATTTTTGTACACACAAATTATATAAAGTATAATAAATGTAAAATTAGAAATAGTTCGTTTTGTATTGGTTAAAAAAAAAAAAAAAACAAGAAATGGAAACTTGGAACCTATCCCTCCATTTCCAAATAAATATTACAGTAGAACCCCTCTAGTCCGCCCTCGGCTAGTCCGTCACTCCGGTTAATCCGACCATGGTCGGAGTCGAGAAACTTGTCCTGACTCGTCGGCAACTCGCCGTCCATGCCGTTTTTCTGTGTTTGTTACAGTATATGTTTTACATTGTGTGTACATGTACAGTTTTGTGTGTGTTTTCAACATGTCAGGAGTGAAATATAAACACGTTACTCTTTCGTTAAATAAAAAATTAGCAGTGCTACAAAGACTGGACAAAGGGGAAGATTGTTTATTTTACTTTTTTCTGATAATCCGACCTTTTTTGCGTTCCGACCATACCCCCACCCCCAGTCCCAAAGATGACAAATTAGAGGGGTTCTACTATAGTCTTAATTTATACAATTTCAATTCCATAAAACAAAGTGGATAAATCAAAGGTTAGATGTATGTTAAGTTAATAAATTTAAGTGAATTTAACTGATAACATGAACATTTCAATATGATAGATCTATTTTATATCTTTAAAATAGAAATAATGATTTCTATTTTATTTCAAAACAGTATTAATAAAAACAGTAATAGTAAAAAAGGAATAAATCACATGAATTATGACAAAAATATTGCAAATATAGGATGTAATAAAATATGAACATTTATAAATTAAAGTTTAAATATCTATGTATCTATAATTCAATATTTAAAAGCATAAATTTAATAAGCTTGCTTAATATTAATTCTAAATCATCCATATTATTTATTTTTACATGAAAGTAATTTAATCTGGAATGGATCATCAAAAACAATTACTAACAAATAAATATTTGATATTAATATTTGAAAGGTTTCACAAAACAGCAACAGACATGAATTGCTGTCAGTTACTTCTGCATTCAAAGAATATCTTCTTAAATCAAAAACATGGCCTTTTAATTCTTTCAATAATGGATCGCTCACAGACATTTTTAAATAACAATGACATGCGATGACAAAAGCAAAAATTACAATTAAGAATCTTTATTTTTGCTTATGGAAAAACTGACACTACAATATGATTTATTATTAAAATGCAAAATATGCATTTGTCAACTGACTAATTGCACNTTCTAAATACAATTTATCTTTTTTTTTCCACAATACTAAACCTAAACATGTTCTAAAGTTTTGAAATAATCTTATTTTCAAAATACTTATATAGAGCAATTAAATTTTCATAAATTTTATTAAAGTTTAATTAACAACATGTGAAAAACAAAATATATAACTTATTACTTACTCCATTTTCATTATCAATAATAATAACCCATTTCTTATCAAGTCTCATTTGCATTTTTTGTGTCCATATGCCTTTTGACTCTTCCATTTGAAGGAGACGACGTAAGCCATCTTTTGGTGTACGCAAGCCTGTAAAAATACTCAAATTTAACATTTATACAACAACTGTAGTATAATCAATACAATCAATGACATTTCAGTGATTATGTAATTACTGTAGTGCCATTGATTTTTACATGAAATATTCAAATTTTACAATATGTAAAGTTCAAATTACAGTAGAACCTCGATTATCCAGATTGTTCAAAATAAACAAAAATTTTATGAATTTGCTGATTTGCAGTTGGCGAATTACGATATTGTTTATGTACATGATGGAATGCATAACTTTTTTTGTTTCAACAACATCTCACCCGGCACAGTGGCTGTAAACTCTTAAATATATTTTGCGCTGTAATAAAAATATAACTTGACATACATATTTATAAATAATTTATTTTCAAATTACATCATTTCTATGACCAAGGGCAGCGTAAGGCATGGGCAACGTGGGCCACCGCCTATGCCTCGCGGTCCGAAGGGCCTTGCATTTCGAGGTTTATGCATTACTTAAAAGCCGCGAACGCGACGAAAAAATTTTACTCGTCATAAAACGATAAATAGTTTGTCAAATTTTTATTCATAAAAATGCAGTTTCAACTGCTTTTTATTTTATAAAATCCGTCTTCTTGCGCTACCAGAGGGCCTTTTAAACAATAGGTAGTCCGTTAGCGTTAGTCAGTAGTAGTCCAAATTCAATATGAACATTTGTTTCTTGAAAATTTGATCACGGTTTAAATACAGTATTTACTTTTAATATTACCAATATGTCATCGAAAAGAAAACGTGTTGTATTATCATTAAAAGACAAATTAAAGTATTTGTTTC